CCTTTGGCTCTGGGTGAGGTGGAGATATCTGTGGATGCTGTGTCTGCAGAGGCCTCAGACAGTCTTGTTTGGAGAGTGATGGTGAAGGTACGATAAAGCAGCGTAGGACGGTGCCTGCAACATGATGTCGCTACAAGATGTGCTTTTGAACGTATTAAGAATGGTACAACAAATACAACGTGCTATGCGGCACAGTTTTTCCTATCATAACACTGAAATGCTTCCATGTTCCTGAAGCCCGAGGGAGTTGAACAGCACTTCTCTCAGACGCTGTTCCTGGAGATGGAACCGGAGAAACGGAACAAATCCACAGCCCTCTCCTTCTCCTTCCCCCCAAATGTGGTGCCCGGCAGTCAGAGGGCCCGTGTGGTGCTGGCTGGTAAGTCTGTCGTTTGTCCTCTTACTGTTCGTGCATGCAGTTTGTTTACGTTGAGTCATTTAGGCGTGTATCGTAGCAGAAAAGCAAGTGTCGGGATTTTCCTCAGCTATAGATTTCAGGTTCGGCGCTTGTCTTGATAGTCAGCTGCAGGATAAACGTTTCCTCTTGCAGAAGTGCGGCTTCCTGCTCAGTGAGGCTTCTGTAACATGTCATTTAAGCCACTTCCCCGACTTTCAAGGTGCCCATTTAAAAAAATACCCCATTCAAAAGTTATTTGAACACTCGTCTGGTGAACGAGACTCTTTCTGTTCCCATTCTGGTCTCACCTTCCAGCTCAAATTGCTCAAAAACAAACATGTTGTTCATCCGTTAAATCTTTCCATCGTCTATCCTGCTGCTTCTCGCAGGCGACATCCTGGCTTTGTCCATCAACAACTTGGGTTCACTGGTTCAGCTGCCGCTTGGATGCGGGGAACAGAACATGATCCACTTTGCTCCAAGTGTATATGTTATCCAGTACCTGGACACTACAAATCAGGATGACCAAGAGCTCAGGAGCAAGGCTCAAGCTTACATGATGAAAGGTTAGATGGACCTTGGTCACTCATAAAGATCACTGACCTGGAGAACTAGTTATCACAATATATAAGAACGTCTTCTGAGTGTTAAATTTGAGCCCATTAAGGCGTTTGTCACAAGCCTTTTTGCTTTTTGCTGTAAGGTTATCAGAAACAGTTGTCCTATCAGAGAGAAGACGGTTCCTTCAGTGCTTTTGGAAACAGCGACACCTCTGGCAGCACGTGGTAAGTTCACCCGTGTGGTCTATTTTCATAAATGTTTTCTCTAAAATCACAATTTTGCTGATGCTCCTTCTTCTCTCGCCTCTCTTCTTTCTCTGGATCCAGGCTGACGGCCTTTGTGCTGCGCTGCTTCCTCCAGGCTCAGCCCTACGTGAAGATACACCAGAGCGTCCTGGACAGGGCTGTGTCCTGGCTCTTAAAACGCCAGGGCCCCCAAGGAGAGTTCAGTGAGGCGGGCAGACTGATCCACACCGAGATGCAGGGAGGGCTGGATAAGGGCCCGGTGGCGCTGACGGCTTATGTCCTGATTGCACTGTTGCAGAATGAAATCTACAAAGTGAGTTAAGGCAGAAATCTATTTTTAAGCTTTCTAGAAGCTGATATTTAAATGGACAGGATGTCTGCGGATGCTAAAAATACTGTATTGGTTTCTCTGTATGAAGGAGACGCACGAAGCCAGTGTGTCTCTGGCCAGAAAGTACCTGGAGGACAAAGTGTCCAGTGAAGTGATCAGCAACTACAGCCTGTGTCTGACGGCTTACGCGTTAGCTTTGGTCAACAGTCCCGTCTCTTTCACCGCACTGACTCAACTCAGCAAGCGAGCGGACTACATCAGTGACTCAGCCTTTTTCTATCTGAAGCTTTTATAAAAACAGCAACATCCTTACTTACCGACTTATACAGCGGCCGTGTCAGTTACTCTGTGGTTTTCTCTTAGATGGAGTGATGATGTGGAGCTCGTCTGCAGGCCTGAGGTCACGTGACCAGAAGCTGCCCTCGGCACAGATCGAGATGTCCTCGTATGTGCTGCTAGCTCACATCAACCGTGGCTCACTCTTTGATGGCATTACACAAATGAAGTGGTTAAGCACACAGAGAAACCATCTAGGAGGCTACGGATCAACACAGGTGAGACAAACCTGTGTACAGATATATAGCATATTTCCGCCATGGATTCTCACAAATATTCCCACATTCTGCCCCTAAAGTCGATATTTATCCACGATTTTCTGTTTCCTTCCTCAGGACACAGTAGTAGCTCTCCAGGCGCTGGCTTCCTACGCAGCGTTCAGCGGCGCCAACGCCATCAACCTCATGGTCAGCGTGTCTTCTCCAGAATCTTCATCGCTGTTTCGAATCAACTCCACCAACTATCGAACATATCAAAGCCAAGAGGTGCATCCATTACCTGGCGTTAGATGGTCAATATGTACAGTAACTGAAATTTATTTAATCTCCAATTTTCATGTCATGTTTCTCAGATTCCTGCGCAAAACAATCTGCATCTAAAAATAGACATAGAAGGCAGAGGCTTTGCCACGTTTCAGGTGCGTTTGTGCGGCTTCTCTGTTTCTGTGGACCGCCGTGGTTCCGTTTCAGGAATTATTTGTAAGGTGCAGATTTGATGAGAAACTGGAAGTCGCCCTTACACATCAGGAATGTTTCCTCCATCGTGTTGAGCTCGACAGATGGTTTAA